TAAATATTTCGATTTTTACAACAATATTTTCGAGGATAAACATTATAAGAATTTGGAAAATGAGGCCGTAAAATTAGGCATAACTAAAAATGATTTCCATACTTTTTCTTCTGTCTTTGTTTTCGTTGCGACAGCATTCAATGTGTAAATAATAATGCTTTTGATTTATAAAAAATTGATTTATAAAAAATAATTAATTCATTTTATTCAAATGTAAAAAATTTTATGTTGTTTTCTTTTTCTTAAAAAAAAATAAAATATATTTATGGATTGAAAACATTAATTTTTGTATTCTTTGTCTATCCTATTTTTTTTACACTTACAGGATTAATTTTTTTTAAGATTAAAGATAATTATTCTTCTTTTATTTTCCATAGAAATCTATTCCTTTTCTATGTTTTTTTATGTTTTTATTAAATCTATTAAAATTAAGATTTATTTCATTACAGAAAAATATATTCATTAATTATTTAATAGTACTATATTATATATATGCAATACTGAATATGAAAAAGTTAAAGAGTTGTTAATAAAATAAGAAATTTCATTTCTTTTTTTTTTTTTGAAATCTCATATATATATTTGAAAACCAATTATTTTAAAAAAATTTTATAATAGCTTAAAAAACTATTTTTTAATAAACTATATTATAGAATCTTTTTTATTATTTTAAATTCCAAAAACTATATTGGTACATGAATTAAAAGTTAGAAATGTTGATAAATTAGAAATTTATAAGCAAATATATATATATTTATACAATTATTTTTCATGAAAAGGAAATATATAAATTTATTCAAAATTTTAAGACATTCCTAGTGTTTTGCGAATAATCTCATTTAATTTGCTTTTTTGTATCTGAACAGAAATTTATGTAAATTATATTATGAATACAATACAGATTGACGTATATTGCATTGATTTAAAATAAAATAATTTAAAATGAAACGCAAAAATTGTTTGCAGCTATAATTACTTACTTAAATACTATTACTTAATTCTAAAATAGGATTTAAAGAATGTCGAAAGAAATTTTATAAGAATTTACTTCTTATATAAATGATTTTTTTAGAAAAAAAAAATGGAAAAAAATATTCTGATTTATAATAATAAAATTTTATAATGATTTGGCTTTGAATTTTATAAATTTGATTTATATTTCAATTTTTATACTATTTTTAATATTTTTAAATCTTAATTATTATTTGAAAATTGTGAAATTGATGTATATAATAAAATGATGGCTCACATTTTTTAAAATGATTAGTATATTGAAAATATACTCTAAATAAAAAAAATATATATTTGTAAACATAAATACATATAAATTTAGAATATTAAAGAACAAAAGAAAAAATAATTAAAATAGATTTTGAAAAAAAAAATATAATTGAATTCTATATACCATATCATGAATTCTAAACATTTTGCTTCGATCAAAATATCCGATTCTGTTCAAAATATTATGGTCCATGTAAAAAATATATATTATTAGTCTAATAAAAAAAAAAAAGTAATAAAAAAATTACATTTTCATATTCTTCACACTATATTAAAAAATTCTGAATATCTTTAGTGAAATCAAGTCAAACATTCATTTTGTATATGATGTATCTAATATTTCATGCATTTAGTATTGTTGTGTTTTTCTCCCAAAGTATTACAATTTTCTTGTCTTGAAAAATCTGAAAAATTTGCACCGGAAATAAATTTTGTATATTAACTATTAAAATTTATATTAATAATATTATATATTAAAATCAATAATATTAAAATCTATAATAATGATCCAAAAATCAGTAATTATTTAATCTTTTTTTAATAATCATATAATAACCATATAATAATATTCTATCATAACACAAATATAATTTCTAAATATTATAACACATTAATACATTCTGAAAAAAATTATTATTTTCTGATAAAATGTAAGAAAATTATAGTTTAAAAGATACGTAAGTTTTCGGGAATATTTTCATATTTTATATTATTTATAGCACAATATATAGTATCATTTTTATATTACATATAAT